GGGGGGGGGGGGGGGGGGGGGGGGGGGGGGGGGAGAGGGAAGGACATGGAAAGAGAGGGGAGGTGCCAAGAGCATTCGATATTGAAGAGTGGGGTATCTTTCCTTTACTCAATTTCCTTCTGATTGGAAGCTCTCCTGCTCGTATGGAGCAGTCAAAAATTTTCACTTTCGGCAATATGAATGGGTACTCGCTGGCATGCCAATATCCCTAAATTCGTGTTCGATTTAGGCCAAATGTTACAAACTTCCCCATCGGGAAATTTCGAATCGCGTTTCATAAATGCTCTCTTCTCGGTGAACCTCGAACACCCCTTATATTTTCCTCATGCGGATTGCTCATCCCTTTTCTTGTAGTTGTCAGGAGAAGCGCAGAAGCGTTAAATGACAGCATACGATTACCTGCGTCTCCCCTTGTTTTTTTCACGCAATGGCTTCGCCTTCGTCGCCCTCCGTTTCTGCGAAGAGTATCAAGTATATATATATTTTTTTTTTCATTCTGAACAGGGAAATAACGTTTCCTTAAGTCTCTATCCGGGTGCACCAGCGAGCAGGATGCAGCTCCTCGACGGTGGCCTCCTCGCTCTCGCCTTCCTCATGCTCCCTCGCGGAAGCCTTCAGCAGACCTGTCCCCTTGCTCCTCCTAGTCTCTCATCTCCACTGCGTACGTCTCCCTCTCCGTATCTTCAACCTTTAATCATTAGGAAATATTCATCTCTATCGACGACACGGACATTCTGCTTCTTTCTGAGTCCAGAGTGATTGATCAAAAATTATTTTAGGATATTTTCTCAGTCATGAGAAGAAACATTCTTAGTTTTACCCCTTTGATGAGGAGCCCTATTGGCTCATGAGGTTTTTCAAGTCCTAATGACCACTTAATATGGTCATTCCATGTGAAATATTCCATAATGGCAAACATCCTGTTCGCTTCATGATCGTCCTTTCGTTGGAAAAAGTAGGCAGAAAAATCCTATTTCTTCACATCATCAAGGAACTTGCGAGGAAAATATCAATACTGCTGATGAATATATTTGAAAATATATTTCTTTGTATAAATATTCTATAAGTATAATTCAGCCTTTCCCCTGGAGAAGTGTCCCTAGAAGCCAGACATCGTCGTATCGATCTGTAAGAAAGGGGAAATGGGCGACCCGGGAAATAACAACCCCGTGAGCCTCATCGGGGTCTCAACATAGCTTGGCCTTTAAGGCTCAGGCATTTATTTATTTAAAGCCATCAGAGGAATCGATGACGTAGAGCGTGGGAGGCTGTGTATGAATTGAGCGACGACGTAACGGTTGCCCTTTCCGTAACAACCTTTAAGATGAGATTAGATGCACAAATGCAAAACAATAGATGCGAGCGAATAGGCACTGGGTGGGATATGTAATAGATGGGCAAGAAATGCTTTAAAAAAAAGATATATATATATATATATATATATTTAGGAAATTTGATCCATTAGTTGGGTATGGATACGATCGACCTCAACAATGAATTTTCAAGATGGGGTGAGTTGCCTTTTCGCGTTCCTATTGCGATTTAGGGATCTACAGCTCGTAGCCCCACATATAACGGATTCCCTCGCTTCGTCCCGAAAGACAACCAATCATTTGGAACTGCGCCTTGGTCTTCCTCCTGAAATTAAGCGAAATTGCACTTTAAACGCAGGTCCATGCAGCTTATAAATAAAGAAATAAAATATTTGTTTAAAATATATAAAGTGATCCGCCATCGAAGATATTCCGTCTTTTTCAAAGGCTGGCAGAGAACTGACAGTTCCTGCCGGCAACCAAATTCCAAAGGTCGTTCGTGCGTGTCGAGTCGGGAAACGAGACTCGGCTGTGCGACTGCGACCAGGCGGAATGAAGAAAAAGAATGAATACGTGACAAACCGACTGAAGCATCTGCACAGTTCACTTTAATTTCTGAATAGCAAAAATTGACAGGGTTTTTCTTGGAGAGTTTCAAGGGAAAAAGTTAATGTCGGTTGGGCTTACGACGCAATTGACCCCACAGTGACGACCGCCACATGCGGACAGACCGGTCTGGCCCGAGCCGGAGCGACGGACCTGAGGCAGCTGGAGCCTGAGGGGCAGACATGGCTGCACCGGACCCGGAACGGACTCTTCCGCGCCATAGCGGGGGCCCTTGGGCTTGGGGGGCTCCGGATCATCAACGGCTCCCCGGCCACCATCTCGGAGGCCCCCTTCGTGGCGTATATCTTGACGTCCAGCTCGTCGGGAGTAGGAAAGAAGTGCAGTGGGTCCATCATAGGGAATCAGTGGATCCTCACGGCAGCCCACTGCTTTTACTCGGGAACGTGAGTGCATCGACTCCTTTAAAACTAAATATGCATTTTAAGTCACTAAACGAATGCACATAATTGACTAACGTACGAAATTATTTTTAAATGA